ATGGCAGCCTGGTTTCGCAGTCTTCCTGAAGCCATCAAATCACGCCAAGCAAAAAGACTACGTCCCACTTGTTGAAAGCAGCGCGTTCAAAGCGCAGTTAGAAGGTGTGTGGCACACAGCTCGGCGTCGAAAAGTGGTCAAGCCGGGTTTGTTCTTGAGCTCTTCGTATACATCCCCAAAGAGTCGCGAACGTCAAGCACTTCGCTTCGTCGAGCTACCGCCTCGCGTATTCAAGAGAGATTCCCCGTGTTGCCGCTTTCTTACAGAAGTCTGGTATTGCTGGTGTACCTGCTACACAAAACTATATGGCCGTTGCGCAGGCTAGACTTCCCGAGGGCAGTGATATTGAAATTCCCCAGAATACGACGTTCCGACAGCTTCTACATATTGATGAGCAAGAAAGATGAATGAATGAAGAAATCGCTTCTGCCCAACTACAGGACGATGCAGCTTATCGCATCATTCGCGTTCAAATCCACGGCATTCCAGTTCCACTAACAGTCAACATAGCGGACCTCCGCGATGCCCTTGGTCTACCGCCATATAGTTTGTGCCCTCCTTTTCGAGGACCAATAGAGGTTGACACGCCTGATCCAGCGCAAAATGTTGCCGATACAGACCACATGGAGCCGAATGAAATGGAAAGATCACATTAAATACATCTAGTTGACCTGTGTTTCAAGTTTTTGTGAATGATAACCACAATGTCTGTAAATATTAAAACCTACAGAATCTTTTTGTCGTGTGCAGTTGTAGAGCGCAACTTTCATCACCGCAACTGGGTCAGCTTGGAATGCCATATTTGCATTTCGTTGGATCCACCTCTTAAGAAGTGAGAAGGTGACTTCAATTGGGTTAAGTCTGGGGAATATGGAGGAAGGAACATCAGTATAGCTCCCGTTTCGTGGACCAATTCCTGGAGTTCTCGTACGTGTGGATTTTTGCATTATCCATGATGACGATTGACCTCTGTAGTGGTCATCGATTCAGGTAAGGCGCAATTTTGGTCTTGAAAATCTCATGAAATGTCGCTCTCGTAAAAGTACCTTCAGTAATTCCCCAACCAAAGAATCCTTTGACATCGACCGCTGCTAGCAACGAAACTCGATTCCCTCGGCTAAACGGTAGTACAGCATGAGCAGGAGTATTCCTGGCGGACCACCCATACTTCCTCAATACAGATCTGTTTGACAAAACAATAGGTTGATAACCGCATGGAGCCTAAGTAAAACAAAATAAACTGATAAAACGAAGTTACTTACCGGCCGTCTTTTGACGTTTCATCTACGAAGACAAGTTGATCAGGTCCACTATAAAACGATAGCAGACGGTTGATATATTCTTGTCGTTCTCTAGGGACACTCTCCTTCGCACGTTTTCTTAGGACCTTGCGCGTTAATCCCAGATCGAACCGTAACGCGCGGCAAATTGTTGAATCTGTCAGGCTTATCGAAGCTCCGAATTGAAGTTGTAGCTCCTTTCGAAGCTCTTCAAAGTAGAAAAAGGGGTGGGCGTTGACATACTCTCGCACAAATGAGCACACATGATCCGGCCACCTTGACGATCGATTTCTTGTTTTCTCGGCTAATACGTTCCCAGTCTGTTTAAAGTCGTAATACCAACGACTTAAGCTGCGCTCTGAAACACCGAAAATAGAAGCAACTGTAGCAGCGTCAATGTTATAGACGTACAGTAGAACTACGCCACGCCACTTGATATCAACGGAATACATGGCTTTTCGTCGCTAGTCAAATTCTACACTGACTATCGCGTCGGTTTTGACGCAAACTGCTGGATGGCAGAGGATTCACCGCCATAGTGGAGTTGAATTGATAAGAGTGAGACTTAAAAGCCGAATCTACTCCGAATTTTCAAAACGAACCCTTCTTTTGTTTCTGAGCTTTTGATTGGTTATATTTACGGAGGCGTGATATCTATCTGGTTGCCACCTGCTAATCCTTAGTTTGCTATACCTAGCCATTGCAATTACAGATAGTTGTTTTGATCCGTTTAGCCAAAATATATGCAAAGCACAATATATTATAATATTAAATAGAAAAACCACAATCTCGAGTACCACACATTCTTACACGATATTCACGTGCACCACATTATGAAACTGCATCAGCAAAAACTAGTGACGATACATGTCGGCCGACGCGGAGCTCTCGGCGCGCCAGGGCGAAGAAGTCGAGCCCACAGCCAAGTACACCCCTTCAACACGCACAAATGGGCGCTGCTGCGTGCGCGTCGGCCGCACGCATGTATTGTGCTCATTGTCCCGTCGTTATGGATACTTCCCATCGACTTGTCACGTCGGCCCTCACTGGGGCTGCATGTTGGTGACTTACTGCCTGGCGATCGGGCCTGCCTTCTTCTTCTTCGCGGACGACATGCTACTGGGGCTTAAGGTGGCGCTAGTGGTGTCAATTTGCCTCACCACAGCATCGTTCACTATGGTGGCATGCAGCGACCCCGGCGTTGTGTTCCAGGATTTGGAGGTGGCCAACGCGCTGCAAGGAGACGTCGAGACTGGCATTATCTGCGGTACAGGCTCTCTAATAGTCGTTAGTTTGAAGTGAAGGAGTCTAATTAGTGTGATGCGGCTGGTTGTGCAGCACAATGCGAGGTACGACGGCCGTTAAACGCGTCCCATTGCTCCGACTGCGGCGTCTGTGTCAGAGAGGTGCGTGTTGCCAGCGATCAAGAGGAACTGAGTCCTAGCTACTAACGTGTGAGTGCTGTTGCAGCTGGATCACCATTGTCCGTGGACGGGCAAATGCGTCGGCGAGCGCACGATCAAGTGGTTCTACGTGTTCCTGACCTTCATCTCGCTGCACTGCATGCTCATCGGCGCCGTTTGTCTCGTTACATTCGCCGCTCGATAAATTCACTTCGTTGCAGCAACTCAGATGTGTATTATCGATGCTGTTCCAGTACTAACACAGTTAGAGTTCCGCGGCTGTGCAAGATACGTAACGAGAACAC